TGTGAATGCCTTGATAGTCCAATGTGAAAAGTCAGTTTCCATTGTTGCCTACTTTTCACCCACCTGTCCAATGCTTTCGTTATTATCCACTTTGCGACCACGGTCGATATAACAAGGTGAAGGGCAAGATGGGAGTCGAAATCAATACATTGCGCCTTCATCGCCTTTCCCTTTCGGACGTAGGAGGTTGTAAGATTGAGTCTGCCGGTTTTTCAGCCAGCCAAAGAGACGCGATGCAGATGAATGCGCGACCACTGGGATAGCGCTAATAATAGCCTTGGCTTTTGGTCTCGTACAGGACGCCATCACCAGAGACCGTGAGAATGCCACAACAGACGAAAGTCAAGCCACGAGGGAGGGAAGTAGAGATGGAGGAGGAGGTGTGGTCTGGTGTTCATGATAGGGGCTGGATCCTCGCCCTCTCACGGCTTGCGTCCATGGCTGGGAACAGGACCACTTGAGCGTAGCGCGTGAAAGCACGGAGGCATGTCAATGTGTTTGCTGATGGAGTCGATGCCTGCCGCCTAAGTTTCCAGCAGTGTCCACTCCACCCTATCTCTGGCTCGCGCCATTGTCCGCGTGCTCGTGAAGTTGAATTCCTGTCATTCCTCCAGAATGTGAGTAATGACTTGGATCGCCTCTCCGAACTGTGTTCCGTTTGCGTTCCAATGTTCATGCGCTAAGTCATCTTCCGGCCCGGCCTGTACAATAGCTAGTATAACTTATGGTCCCAGTGATCATTATTTTGGCAATAAGCGCATTCGCTTTCAGTCAAAGACACGTTTGTAGTTAGCGGACTTGCAGGTCCAGAATGCGACTTGTAGGAGCAAAAATCTCAAACGAGAGCTAAATTTACTGGAGGGCGGGGGTTGGACAATGCTGAAGTCCATTCACATATGGCTGTTAATTACTTCCGTTGGGTAGACGTCCGCATTTGGTTATCGGCATCGGGAGTTATACTTTTATTTCCTTAGGCTGCAGTTATTCAACCAATGCTTGACAAGGTTCACTACTGAAACGATTCAGGGTTTGGTGGGAAATACTGAGTTTGTTCATATTACGGTCAAAGACAAGGGAGACTGGAATGCCTATTTCTGGTTCATTAACCGTTGTCAGCCAGTCATACAACTATGCAATGAACCCACTAAGAATGAAGTCACACACATTTCCATTGTATCTTATCTTCGTCTTTCTTCGTTTTTTGTCCAGATGTTCAAGCCGGTGCGGTGTGAAGGCCAAGTCGAGACTTGGCTGACACTGCTCTATGACATAGCCCGTGTTTCACTGCATCTGGAGATTCAGAAGGCGAGTTTCCTTATTTTGGATCCATCATGCGACTTCATCGAGTTCTTCGAAACCCAATTGGCCCAAATTGGCATCTTGGGTTTGCAAATTATCTGGACAAACGACGCCACAGAGGCGTTGAAAGAGGCCAAATCCGAGCCCAAGGCCATGAGTAAGGCTAATAAGCACTTTTTGGATATGCTAAATTTGCTGATTGGTGAAACGACCAAGGACCTGACACCCGTTATGCGTACCAAGTTCGAGACCCTGATTACAGTCCAGGTGCATCAACGGGACATCTTCGATGATCTGGTGAGTCTGTGAGCCTCAAACTCAACCCATCTCCTCTAATTTAAATGCCTCTCCCTCTCTCTCCTTCTCACACTCGAACCGAACTTACGGTTTTAGTGCAAACAAGGTATAAAGTCGCCATTGGACTTTGAATGGACCAAGCAGACACGTGCGTACTTCATCGAGGAGGTCGACAAGTGCGTCATCTCCATCACGGATGTGGACTTCGCCTACCAAAACGAATTCCTCGGCTGCACGGAGCGACTGGTCATCACGCCGTTGACAGATCGTTGCTACATTACCCTGAGCCAGGCGTTGAATATGAATCTGGGTGGTGCGCCTGCTGGTCCTGCAGGAACCGGGAAAACCGAGACTACAAAGGTATCGCGAGGAAGACTTGTCCTCCCCTGCTTTCCATTTACCTTTTCTCCCTTCCCCCCCCCCTCCTCCCCCAGTTTGCCACGTGCAACAGGACACCAAAAGCACCTATCCATTGTAACTGCTCTGTCTACTGCGTCTGGCTCGAAGATCGTTCGCTGCTTTTAAGCGGAGGTGGTGAAGTTTACGCGGAGAGTGCGATTCCGGAGTATCACCGTTCCGCCTTTAAATCTCTGCTTAAAGACAGGGGTGTCATTAACAGCAGCACTGTCCTTAAATAGGGCTGTTGAGACAGCCCAGACGGCTGCCAAACTCCAGTATGCATCGTGACTTTATTAAGTGGAAAGAAGGCTCGTATACAGGATGGCTTTCCCCTCCCCTCTGTGGGACATTTTTTCGGGGGTGGGGAGGGGGGACGAGAGATGGGCACACGACAATTTGACCGTCGATTCCGACTAGGTCCACTGCGGGCTCCCCAGCCTGCTGGTGCTGGGACGGTGACTTACGTGTGGGGCTAGTCTCAAGTGATATTAGACTTGCGTAGCATCTACCGCTCTCTCTCTCTCTCTCTCTCTCTTCCCTCTCTCATCTGAGCCCGGTATCAAAACAGAGTCAAGAAGATGGGAGGCGGGATTGGGCCCAAGCGACTGGAACCGCCAAGCCTGACTCAGACCCCACGCAATGAAAGTGCCGTAATGGCCACGGGTGCCTGATGTCTAAGAATTCACCTA